CCCCCCCCCCCCCCCCAGGATAGTATGCAATCGCCGTAGGTGTCAGCCGAGTACCGTAGGCCCACCCCCAGGAAATTTTTAAAATTTGGGTCTCTGAAATAGAATTTCCCGCATTCTGAGAACACATTTTTTAAAAAATCTCAGCTTCTCAAAACAAAGTTTTAATATATGGTGAAATTTGTAATAAATTCCATGCTAAACATTCAAACACAACATAAATTTAAGAATAATCACCAACAAATTTTGTTTTTTAAACTTCATTTCAATGTTAAACTCATTTACTCAATACAGCTCTTAGGGCCCTGGCTTTGGGGCAATAGGCCATTTTTTTTCTTCAGTGGTGGCGCAGAGGAAGGGGCTCAGTGGGGCAAATGCCCCACCAGTCCATGGCAATAAAAAAAGCCTTGACTGGGATGGAGGGTCTTCTATTTTTTCGTGTTTATCCGTCCGATGGTTTTCGTTTCATATTCATATCAGACAAAAATCCGTCACACGAGTTTCCCGTTTTAGACGGAAATCCGGCTTCTAACATGAATTCAGCTATTTTTTGTGAGCTACCTTGGAATTTTAAAATTTCTATCAGTAATAGAAATTTGTTATATTAAAATGTCAGAAATTCAAAATTTTTAGCTATCAGTGTTAATTGCAGAGATGCCTCCATATCTGATATGAATTCATACTTGTGTCAAAATTACACATACTGTCAATATGGTCCTTTCTTCACTAACTGCACGATTATTGCAAAACCGTGCGCTTATCCGCCCCACTAATGTGTTTACCCGTCAAAAGCTGTGATTCAGTGCCAAAAATTAATTCGATGCAAAGTTTGAAAATTTTTACAAAAGATGTTTTACTAAGAGAAAATAATAATAGCAAAAAAATTCTTCTTACGTTTTGTAATAATGCTGCATGTTTACACGAGACATTTTCATAAAGGATCATGCGTCGTTTTTATAGATCTGGAATATTATAAAGATATAGTCATAGAGGATATTAGACGGTTGCGAAGAGATATGAATTTTATGTTCGGGTGGCAAAAACAATATCTCACGAGTGAGCGCAGCGAACGAGCGAGATATTGTTTTTGACACGAGAACATAAATCCATATCTTCTCGCAACCGTTTAATGTTCTGTTTATTATATGGACTTATTAATCAGAGTGACAAAAATACACACAAAGACGACATGTAAATAAGGACGCGAAAGACCAGAGTAGTGATACCCCCCCATAGAGTACAAAGGGATGCCGCCAATGACGTCACATTGCTCCGAAAGTAATTAGTATGCAAACTTAGGTGTCGGAAGTAATTAGCAGGCGGAATCTATGACGCAGCTTTGCTGGCCCTAACCCTAACCCTGGGCCAACTGTGACAGGTAGCGCGACCAATTAACGCGGTGGGCCAACTGTGACAGGTAGCGCGACCAATTAACGAGGGCAGGCCTGGGCCAAACGCGATCAATATTGTACACCAATCAGGTGGGCGGGTCGCGCGGGTGGAAAAGCGGGCTTTGCAGGCAAAAATTTACACAAGATTTCAGTTTTACAATTATTTCTTCAAAATGTTTTAACAAAATTTAGTACGGTCTACTTTTAAGAGCGTAATGTCTAGGTGATTCTTGCATATCTTCTGGGGATAACCTAAGATA